TGTTCTGGTAAATTTTCACCAAAGAAGACAATCTCCGGCTTCATGATAGCAAGTGGCTCATCAGCCGGGCACCTAGGACAACGAGGAACTACCTGCACAAAATGGGAAAGTGAAGGGAGCCCCAGTCAGAAGCAGTCAACATTCCCAGGAAAGAGCAGCCGTGCCCAGGTAAACTTGACAGTGTCTACTGTGGAGCCAGGTGACCACAGCTCTGCGGTGAAGACAATTCCTGCCAAGCCTGACAACCAATTTCAACTCCCCGAGTCCACAGGGTGGACTGAGGACTGACCCCCAACACCCTGATCTCCTCTATCCTCTGCCTTCACACATGTGCTGTCATTCCCCCATGCACACGTGTGCACACAGAAAATACTAAATATGCAAAAAATGAGCACAGGGAAAAAAAACGCAAACTTGACCTTTTAAAAATGTTTGTGAAAATAACTCCATTTCAATATACTCTGTTTCCTGATTATACATGACTGTGCAGGACATATTTCTGGGTGTCTTGCTGTATTTTCCTGGAGTAACTACTTCACTATCATTTTGGAAATGTTTGAAATCTTACACAACTAAGTGTAAGAAAGGCTCCAACTATGATCCAAGCTGAGAAGGAAGGACAGTGGCGGAATTCCCTCCAAGTTGTGACCAGGCCCCTACTTTAGACTTCATAAGGAGGTACTTAGGAGATGTCAACTAAAGAGGACTTAGATTTGTTGAAGGGATCTATGTAACCTGGGCTAACCCAAGCTTGCTTAGAGCTGAGCATGACCTTCAGCTTAAGTCTCCAGCCTCCAAAGTGCTGGGATTACAGGCATGTGACCAAACACTAGATTTACTGGTGCTGGAGAGCAAACCCAGGACTCTAAATGTTAAGTAGGCATTCTAGCAACATTCCAACTTTTATCTGGAGACAGGGTTTCTGAGTTATTGTCCTGGAACCTCGCTCTGTAGGCCAGACTTGCCTCTGCCTCCTGAGTGCTGGGACTAAAGTAAAGGTGCATGCCACCACTACCTGGCCCAACATTTTTTTTTCTTAAGGACTCTCCACCTTACAGACCCGCATTTATCAGGAAGTCCAGCACTCTTTCTGTTAACACATACTCTGAAGGGGAAATGATGAAGGCAGAAGCAGCAAACATCAAGTTCACACAGTTCCTACAATGAGCAGATGAATTCAATTACCTGATTAAAAATGTCTCCTCGAACAGCTTCACAATCAACTTTGTATTTGCAAATCAGGCAAGATGCTGTTGCAAAGGAACCTAAAACAACAAAATACACCTACATTATTGAAATATTTGTGGTTTACACCATAAAGACTTTAACCTGAGTTCTCCTGGTCTTACAAGGAATATAATCTATGTGATATATAGTTTATATATTAAGAATACATGTGTGTGTGTATGTTTTTGTGTATGTATGTATGTATGTATGTATGTATGTATTCCATATCCTCTAAAGCTATTGCAATAAATAACTTTGCAAGGGCTAAAACTCTACAACTGGAAGGTTCCAACCTTAGCACAGTTGTGTCTTGTATAGTCAAAGATAGCCTTGAACTTCCTATCACTAGGCATACACCACCACATCTAAGGCCTTATTTCTGCTTTTGTGTGTGTGTGTTTCTTTCAGTTATGTGCACTCAAGATTATCAAATAATGCTTAATCACGAAACTAGATAGCATCTTCTTTCCAAGCCTGATGTTTCTATTAAACTAAGCACACTACAGAAAACTACTGTTGACGTTTACTAACCATGACACTGGATGATCCTTTGGATTCCTGCAACCTGCTCCAAGGTATCTATATTTTGAGTATAGTTTCGAAGTAGTTTTCCTTCCTTATCT